ATACAGCAGGGAAAATTATTGATGTTGTTTGGTCTACGCATTGCTTCCTCAACTTTTGCGTGTATGCAGGACAGGATAGACAGTTTAGAAATGCGTTGAAGCACAGGTTATTGAAAGCTGTTTGCTTTTTGTATCTTAAACAAGTGCACCCCGAGAAATCATCTATTTGTTTTAAAACCGTTAATGCCAGTAATGCATAAAACCCTGTGTTTTAGGTATTAGCTAAGCTAACTTGGGGCCTCAGAGTTTGTAGGGGCCTTAACAAATTCCTATTTTTATTCACAAATGCAATTTTTGTTTAAACAGGGCCTCAAAAAAGATTACGTAATATAATTTTGGTGGTATCTCGACACAGTATTTATGATTTTTTTAAAATAAATAATAAACGACAATATATTTACATCATCGATATATTTAAAAAGAGTGTATATTTTAAAGTTGTCTGACATTAGCTGGTGTAATTTAAAACATGTGGGGCCTCAGCGCTTTGTATTTCTGAAGGCGTCATCAAGTCTAAATCCAGCTCTGATGTAACTGTTATAGATCTTCATTAATTGAATCAGTATATATTTATTACCGTGCTTGTTTATTGTCCTCCTCTTTCAGGTCGACTAAGCCTTAAAACGGTACCCGGAAATTTCATGGGCAGTAAAAGAGGCCGGCGTGAGGTTATCCACATCCAGACGTCGTGACGTTTGCGGACACGTCCCCATTCCACTAGCATATTTAAGCGTCCGCGAACAATTTGGAATGTTTGTAGATTTGTCGGCAATTTAACAAACTAACACCAAATTAGAGGAGCGGCTGGCCGAACGGTTAGAACGCTAGGCGATCAAGAGGGAGATACAGGTTCGAATCCTCGGTAAGGCTGAGGATTTTTCTGTCGTCGGCAAAATAAAATCCTCACCTGCACAGTCATGGCGACAACACTAGCCATGCGGCTGTATATCCTCAGGCTCAAAGACCTCTTCCCTCCCCCCTAACCCCCCCCCCCTTTCCGGCCTTCACCGTGAAAGTGATAAATTGAAGGCAGTTTTTTTTTTTTTGTGTGTGGCTCTTTTTGGCAAACAAAATAAACACTAGATGACGATACTGACAGTTGTAGGAATAGTCAAATGTACTCTAAAATCGTGAAGATTGCACAGTTTCTCATAGCCGTTTCAGCACACAATGCTTCGGTGGAAAGACTTTTTTTTTTCTAACATACTTAACAAACAGACAATGTTTTTAGAATACTTTTGGGTAGATTTTTAACTCCAAATTTTGCCCGAGCGTCGCTGTTACGCCACACTTTTTGTCGATTTCCAACTGCCAACATATTTTTACGGGCGCAACAATACACACAGGCGTCAGGTCTTACTATCCAGAAACAAAGGGAAATTACTAGGAGTCTACGTGAAAAGAAAACAATCCAATGAGAGAAAATGAATTGATCGGCACTCGTAGAAAGACAGAAGGACACACTAGACAACATAAAAATCGAAAGCTGTAGTTACCGTGCCGGGAATCCAGCCTGTCACCTCCAAATGGCGTGTGCGCCGAGCTATGGAAACAAGTGCATTAAGAATATGACCAAATAGCCAGGTTTTTTTTTTCTTCAATCCTTGCGCAGGAGTCAATCTATAAAAATCGCTTTAGTAATTATGGATTTGGATTCAGTCAGGCTAACTTCACTTGTAAATTTTAATTTCAAACATTTCAAATTCTGGCAATTCTATGGACATCTGATGTAAGGCATCTGCACTGGGGACATTCCAACACGTGTTCCGTCTCATTCTACCGTAGCCAACAAAGAGTTCACACGCTTATAGTTGATAAAGGTTAGTTGCGTATCCTTTTTAGGACGTTGCAGAAGTAACCCCAGCAGCCCCTGGCAGTTGTGTGGTTTCTCTAGGCAAATTTGCGTCCAATAGTTTGCCATTGCTTCTGGACGGTCAGGCCCCTGATACCACTGTCGAAACCAACGCAAGGCGCATGACCCGCAGCTGGGATCGAACCCAGCACGCCGGCATTACGAAGCGTTCGCATCGACTTAGCTACAGAGCCGACACGCTAATAGTACCTGTTATAAATAACCTGATTAAAAGTTTACCGACCTTTCTCCGTGTTGAAATCTACCGAAGTCTCTACTCAAGCCCTGTTGAATTAGGCTTTCAGTGTGTGGATTCTTTGTTTTATTGTGCTTTCAATAAGATCCCAGACAGCCTTCGCTGCGTTGTTTCTTTCCCGTTCGTCCTTTGAGAAACAAAATACATACAAACTTGACCACGTTCAACCCTGCCGAAACAGATTCGGTTATAAAAGTAAAGTAAAGGACCCTTTTCCACGCCTTTAGACTATAGGGCATATAGGGCTAGACCTCTATCTTAATCGACCAATCGGCACAAGATGGGTGATGTGGTCAGCATCACGCCGGTTGCCTTTACTTTCCAGGACTGCACCTGGTACCCATTCAAGGCTGGGTCGACCTGGGAGCTAAGATCATTTTTGAAAAATGATGTTCGGCTCCGCCAGGAAGGAAACCCACGACCTTCCGATCCGCAGGCGAACGTCTAGCCGCTACGCCATGGAGACTTCCGGTTATAAGTGTGGTCTAGTTTTATTTACGCCAATTGTATTGGCTTAAATAGTATGTCGTGTCAGTAGTTTTGGATTTTTTCCCCCTAACAAAAAAAAAAAAGAAAAAAAAGATGGAGCCTCATTGCAAAACTACGAATCTTAAGACCAATCAAAGATGCAGTCAGCAGAGAAAAGACAAGACGCCTCAACAAAAAGCATAATCTGTTCAAATCTCTATTCCTTGCTGGCATCATGAGGGCTGGTAGACTGCAATAATTGGGACATAGAGAGAGAACGACAGATAACAGACAAAAACTGCATACACAAAAGAGTTTAACAGGGGTAGACCAAGAGGCAAACGGTGGGGAGATAATACACAGACAGACCTACAAACATTTGGAGTCACTTACTGGAGAGAAACAACTAATGGACGTAAATTTGCCTAGAAAAACACCACACAACAGCCAGGGGCTGTTGGGGTTGGTTCTGCAACGTCCTTTAAAGGATACGCAATTAACCTAACCTAACTAGAGAGAAAGGGTCAACCAGAGAGACGATGGGAGGTTGATAAATTCTGCAACAATAAGCTGGGAATGCTGATGAAGAAAAATAATTTATATAATCGTCCCTGCAATGTTCACACGTCGGCGTCTATGGTTTAGGCGTTGCAAACGCGCTTCGTAATGCCAGGGTGCCAGGTTCGATTCCAGCTGCGGACCTTGTGTTGGTTTTGACAGTGGTCTCGAGAAGCCGACCGTCCAGAAGGCAATGACAAACTACTGGGCGTAAACCTGCCTTGAAAAAACACAACAGCCAAAAAAGTACTGGTGCTCGTTCTGCAACGCCCTGTAAAGGATACGCAACTAAAAAAAAAAAAAAAACATTTTCACACATTTGAGAAAAAAAGACACCATTTTCTTTAATGAATTTATCAGTTACATCAGTATGCTGACCAGACCGTTCCAATGTCCACATCATAGTAATGACAGATCGTGGAAATACTCAGCCAAATTTCGAAATCTTAGTATTTGTTCATTGTGATGCCATCATGGTATCCGTGCCGTATCTGCTATCGATTTGGTAAAATGTAATTTTTACAGAGACCAAACCAAACAGAAATGAATGCTTAAATTGTCTGTTTCTATCGTGTTTCTAGTTAGTAAATTTATATGGTAAACAATTCTTCTTTGGTCTGAACTTTAGGCAACAAGTTACATGTTATTGTACCGTTCTTATCCTTACATTGTCACATGATTTCAACAGATAAAAAATAGCTGTTAAATTCCCGAATTCTTTTTCCTCAACAAGTATAGTATAATTCCCAAAGGCTGAGCTAAACTGAACATTTGCGGTGTTGTTTATAAGTTTGATGCATTTTTTGTAATGTGAATTTTCACCTGCAGTTTTAGCTGTGGCTGAATAGTTAGGTTCTGAAAGTGTAATACATAAATGCATGTTGGACAACATTGTTTTAGCCACTTGGGTATGCTAGATTGTTTCACCGGTATCATCTAATAGTTGCACGTAATTTCAGCACTTTTCCGACTCTGTGTTGTACAAATACGACAGGCTTATAGCTTTCAAATACCATAAGTGACCGCATTGGTTAAAGTTCAATTGTTTATATCGGCACACATCTTTCTTCGTGAAAATACATTATACATACGGTGACTTAGGAAACTCTGACAAGCAAATGTTATAAGCAGAATTTGGACTGAGTTGTCATTCTTCAACTCCAAGTCGTGTCTCAAGACATATCCGCCAATTCATAGTCAAGTCTCAAGTCACCAAGAATGCTTTGAAGTCAAGTCCTGAGTCAAGTAAATACGTTTAAAAATCTTGTGACAAAGCTTATGGTTTAAAACTGGAAATGGCAGTGCGAAAAACTCGCTAAACTATAGATAAAAGCAGAAGAAGTCGAATGTGAAAGCTTGATCAATCGAAAGATAATTAAATCTGTCATGTTTGATATGAAGACGTTTACAAGTGTGACGCTGGTCATCAAAAACCTCACAGTTGCCGAGTCGCGCCAAGTCGTCGAAGCTACCGGTCGCAAATCGAGTCCCGAGACACAATACAACGCTAAGTAAAGTCGCAAGTCGTTATTTGCGCGACTTACATCGCACTCGAGTCCAAATCGCGTGACTTGAGTTCCGTTCGCAGATTTTAAGCAATGTTAACAGGAGAATGTCTGTGGCTTAGGCGTTGCGAACGCGCGTCGTAATGCTGGGGCGCCGGTCTCAATCCCAGCTGCGGACGATTTGTCTTGCGCTGGTTTCGACAATGGTACGGAGAGCCGACTGTTAAGTGAGCAATGGCAAACTACTGATGGTCAAATTTGTCTAGAAAAACCACAACATCCCCCAAAAAATGCTAGGATTAATTATGTAGCGTCCTGTAAAGGATACGCAACTAACTAACTAATAGGAGATTCTGCAAACATGAATGACAGCTACGGAAATGCACAGAGCAATATAGAAACGTTCCATGCAAATGGAGGTATATTTCTGTCAGACTGTAGCTCTTTATCATTACCTAAAGAAGCGCTCCTTATTTATATTCGTACAGTAGTGCAAGCATCACTAATGTTCATTGCAGTTCTTATGAACATAACTATTATCGCTGTCGTCTGCTGTACAAAAAATCTGCGAACTGTCACCCACTTTTTTATCTCCTCCTTGGCTTGCAGTGATTTGATCACGGCCTCTATAATCTTCGCCTGCAGTTGTATCGTCATCTCTAGTCTATCAGGCAACAGGACCTGTGGACTTACTGCATCATTGGTTTGTTTTAAAGGTTTTCTAACGTTCTTCAGCGTGACTTCCAGTATCGGCAACCATCTCTTGATTTCTATCGAACGCTGGCTGTACATAGCGCGTCCATTTCTTCATCAGCGAATAATCAATCCACGAACAACAACAGGCTGTGTCATATCTATGTGGGTGATATCATTTTTATTTAATATCAACGTTCTTTTCGACCGCTGTGGATCAGTCAAATTTTCTACAAGGGTTAACAACGGCATTGTTAAGCCAGCACTTAATTTCTTCTTGTGTTTTCTTATGTGTATTATCTATTCTCACATCGCGTTTATAAGTTATCAACAAGTAAAAACCATTAACAAACTCAGAGTGACCAGCGGGTGTACAGAAGACGAAACTGTCTTAAAAACTCGAACGTTAGTGACCATGAGGTGGAAAACCATTCGGATGCTGACCACTGTCTTTGGAGTGTACTTTATACTCGTCCCTCCTTTATTTTGTATTGATATATATGCTTATGCAGCGGATCAAAGTATTTATGACACTTTTTTTGGCAAAATTGTAAACTTGATTTGGTCTGTGCACTGCTGTTTAAATGTTTGTATTTATGCGGCACAAGACAGAGTTTTTAGGAACGCGTTGAAAACAGTTTTACAGAAAAAGTGTAATGTTTGTTGTCGCAGAAATGTTCATCCAGATACGACTTTCTCATGTGGAACAATTAAAATGTAAGCAGTAGGCGGGGTAATTAAACGAATAACTATACCTTACATCATTATTAAGTGTTATGCTGTAAATGATGTGACAATTTAATTATGTCGAACCTTTCAGATAGGGGAATCACCAGATGCTTTCACTAAGTGAATTTGTGAACATTTATTTATTTACGGAGCATGATCCGGCTGGACGAGACGGGTTTTGTACACAAAAAGTGGATCGAGTCATTTCAAAACTCCACTGTGAGTGGAGTTACTGTGGTCTTTGTACCAGGATATGCGGGTGTTGTTGGCAATGAAAGAACCCACAAATTAGCCGGCTCTACCTCAGTTACAGAGGGCCGGCCCATGGATTATACTGACATTGTTAAAGCCATTAGAGAAGTGGGACATTGGGAGAATTTTATGATCAGCTCTTCCATATCTTCGCTAAGAATGAAAGAACTGGAAACAAAGATTGTCACATCCAGGTACGAGAAGCACACTGGATGCACGAGAAGTCTTGTCAATCAACATAGGACTGGGACTATCAACCGCGGGACGCTGATGTATATGTTGAATGAGGGATCTGACCACACGTGGACGCGTCCGAAGTGCCGTGAAGATAACCAAAATCCATAAATTATACCTCATGTATGGACAAGACTATAATAGTAGGACATCAAAGTGACGCGCGCGTGATTCTGAAGAGATTTGCCTGCTTGGTCGATTGGTGCAAACTGCAGTTCAAGCCCGCAAAAGGCAAGAAGTTTGTCAATCCAGAAAGGTAAAGTAGTGGCAGCCAGAGTTTTATGGCAAGCAAAACAATCTTCACGTTCTAGAGCAGCGATTCTTAAGCTGATGGTCACGTCCCTTTTTGGGGTCGTCGAACGATCCTTTCACAGGGGTCGCCAAAGACCATCGGAAAACACATATTCATTGAAGTTCTGAAGGAAAATAATTGTTTGCGGGTGGTCAAAACATGAAGGAACTGTATTCAAGGGTCGCGGCATTAGGAAGGTTCTAGAGGATCCAGTGAATAGCCTTGGTCGGGTATACGATTCAATGATGTTAGACAGAGAGAAAAGGAAGTCCCGCGAATACATGAGTCCGTCGCTAGAGGCCTGCTAGCTTTCGAACCGAACAGGTTGATTGGTAAATTCTAGATCTGATGTTGAAACTATACACGTGTTTATATGTGTGTGTGTGTGTATATGTGTGTGTGTGTGTGTGTGTGTGTGTGTGTGTGTGATATTATTTAATAATAGTTTAAGTGTTATATAATTTGATAAAAATATTATTCTATGAAATCTTTTAGATGCAGACGTTAAATGACATCGTTAACAAGTAGATCCTGCATCTTTTATTAAGATAGAAATGATGTTCCTGTCAGTTTTGACATTAACGCTAAACCTGCAGATAGTTAGTAATATCGTAAACAATGTAGATTCTTCGTCTTTGCGATGTTATTGAAGTCATGGGACAATTCAATTATGACGTAAGCAGGTTGAACCTACTAACCCATTTTCGTTGATAGACATAATACTAATGTAGACGTTACTTTGAGGGGGCTGCGGGGTCTCAAGGCATGGTGTCCGCCTCGAGTGCTGCAGGTTCCGGGTTCAATCCCCGGTAATGACTGGGATTTTTTCACGTGGACTTAGACTTCTAGTAATTCGCTTCGGTCTCTGGGCAGTGAGATCGGACGCCTGTGTGTATTGTTGCGAACGTAAACAAAAATCTATTGGCAGTTGGAAATCGAAAACAGTAGCCTAACGGCGCTGCATGTGCAAAATTTAGAGTTAAAAATCTACCCAAATAATTCAGGATCCTCGCCAGTGCTACAGAGCCTGTGCACTGTGCTGAGCTTATTCGGACTCAGACTTGAGTTACAAGATGAAAGGAGCACTTATGGGTTACTACTCGTGTACCATGATGTTGGTTTGTTGTTCAAACCTCAAACGTTACTTGGTTTTGTAAACAAATTGTTTAAAATTCAAAATTAAACCTAAGAAATCTTTGGGATGTGATAGAAGTCTTGTATCTGTATCCTCTCTGTGTCGCTTAGGTATTCATCAGGAATACTTATTGCTGCAGGTCTGCTAATTGAATACCCCTGGTATCCTATGTCTTTTTATACTGCTTCATTTCCCTTTCTACGTCCTTCTCCGTGTTTTCTTAGGTCGCCAACGTTTCCCTTTTCTTTCTGTCGTCCATCGGAGAGCAGTCCTTGCCAAAGTGTCATCAGGCATTCGGCAAACATATCCTTTGAAAACGTTTTCCAGTGATGAGCATTTTGTTTTCCCTATCAGTTTCTAAATCTGTGATCTTGTTTATCCAAAATATCTTCCCAGGATTCTCCTTAGACCAGTGGTTCTCAACCTTTCTAATGCTGTGACCCTTCAATACAGTTGCTCATGTTGTGGCGACCCTTCAATACAGTTGCTCATATTGTGGCGACCCTTCAATACAGTTGCTCATATTGTGGCGACCCTTTAATACAGTTCCTCATATTGTGGCGACCCTTCAATACAGTTGCTCATATTGTGGCGACCCTTCAATACAGTTGCTCATATTGTGGCGACCCTTCAATACAGTTGCTCATGTTGTGGCGACCCTTCAATACAGTTGCTCATGTTGTGGCGACCCTTTAATACAGTTTCTCATATTGTGGCGACCCTTCAATACAGTTGCTCATGTTGTGGCGACCCTTCAATACAGTTGCTCATGTTGTGGCGACCCTTTAATACAGTTTCTCATGTTGTGGCGACCCTTCAATACAGTTGCTCATGTTGTGGCGACCCTTCAATACAGTTGCTCATGTTGTGGCGACCCTTCAATACAGTTGCTCATGTTGTGGCGACCCTTCAATACAGTTGCTCATGTTGTGGCGACCCTTCAATACAGTTGCTCATGTTGTGGCGACCCTTCAATACAGTTGCTCATGTTGTGGCGACCCTTCAATACAGTTGCTCATATTGTGGCGACCCTTCAATACAGTTCCTCATAATGTGGCGACCCTTCAATACAGTTGCTCATATTGTGGCGACCCTTCAATACAGTTGCTCATATTGTGGCGACCCTTCAATACAGTTCCTCATATTGTGGCGACCCTTCAATACAGTTGCTCATATTGTGGCGACCCTTCAATACAGTTGCTCATGTTGTGGCGACCCTTCAATACAGTTGCTCATGTTGTGGCGACCCTTCAATACAGTTGCTCATGTTGTGGCGACCCTTCAATACAGTTGCTCATGTTGTGGCGACCCTTCAATACAGTTGCTCATATTGTGGCGACCCTTCAATACAGCTCCCTCATGTTGTGGCGACTCTTTAATACAGTTCCTCATGTTGTGGCGACCCTTTAGTACAGTTCCTCATATTGTGGCGACCCTTTAGTACAGTTCCTCGTGTTGTGGCGACCCTTTAATACAGCTCCCTCATGTTGTGGCGACCCTTTAATACAGTTCCTCGTGTTGTGGCGACCCTTAAACAATTATTTTCCTTCATAGCTTCAATGAATATGTGTTTTCCGATGATCTTCGGCGACCCCTGTGAAATGTTCGTCCCATCTAAAAATAAGTCGCAACTCGCAGGTTAAAAACAGCTGCCTTAGACATTTGTTTTGAAAAGTCTGTAGTTTGGGTATAATTCCTGCTGTCGTTTGTCTGTAGTTTGTGTATAATTCCTGCTTTTATTTGTCTGTAGTTTGTGTATAATTCCTGCTGTTATTTGTCTGTAGTTTGTGTATAATTCCTGCTGTCATTTGTCTGTAATTTGTGTATGACTCCTGCTGTCATTTGTCTGTAGTTTGTGTATAATTCCAGCTGTTATTTGTCTGTAGTTTGTGTGTGACTCCTGCTGTCATTTGTCTATAGTTTGTGTATAATTCCTGCTGTTATTTGTCTCTAGTTTGTGTATGAATCCTGCTGTCATTTGTCTGTAGTTTGTGTATGACTCCTGTTGTTATTTGTCTGTAGTTTGTGTACAATTCCTGCTGTCATTTGTCTGTAGTTTGTGTATGACTCCTGCTGTCAATTGTTTGTAGTTTGTGTATAATTCCTTGTGTTATTTGTCTGTAGATTGTGCATGACGCCTGCTGTCATTTGTCTGTAGTTTGTGTATAATTCCTGCTGTCATTTGTGTGTAGTTTGTGTATAACTTCTGCTGTCATTTGTCTGTAGTTTGTGTGTGACTCCTGCTGTCATTTGTCTATAGTTTGTGTATAATTCCTGCTGTCGTTTGTCTGTAGTTTGTGTATAATTCCTGCTGTTACTTGTCTGTAGTTTGTGTATAATTCCTGCTGTTATTTGTCTGTAGTTTGTGTATAATTCCTGCTGTCATTTGTCTGTAATTTGTGTATGACTCCTGCTGTCATTTGTCTGTAGTTTGTGTATAATTCCTGCTGTCATTTGTCTGTAGTTTGTGTGTGACTCCTGCTGTCATTTGTCTATAGTTTGTGTATAATTTCTGTTGTTATTTGTCTGTAGTTTGTGTATGAATCCTGCTGTCATTTGTCTTTAGTTTGTGTATGACTCCTGCTGTTATTTGTCTGTAGTTTATGTATAATTCCTGCTGTCATTTGTCTGTAGTTTGTGTATGACTCCTGCTGTCAATTGTTTGTAGTTTGTTTATAATTCCTGGTGTTATTTGTCTGTAGATTGTGTATGACTCCTGCTGTCATTTGTCTGTAGTTTGTGTATAATTCCTGCTGTCATTTGTCTGTAGTTTGTGTATAATTTCTGCTGTCATTTTCAGACACTTCCTGTTGTATAATTAGTTAGTTTGTTTTCTCTTGAGCCTAGGGCGACGCATAGGGCAGAGGTCATAGCTCTCAATATCTGACGGTTGTTTTTACCTGTTTTAGGTCTTGGATGTTCATTAGGCCCATGGTTGAGCCTTCTCTAATGATGGTTCTACACATGGTCTCTCTTGTTCTTTCCAGTTTTCTTTTCCCTTCCGGTCTCCATAGGAGGGCTTGATGAGGGAATCATGTTTCATCCATTCTGAGCGCAAAAACGATGTAGTTCCAGCGGC